ACCCCAACCCCAACCCCAACCCCAACCCCAACCCCAACCCCAACCCCAACCCCAACCCCAACCCCAACCCCAACCCCGACACCAACCCAAATTACAACCTCAGCCCCATCCCATGTTTAATATATTCATAATTTTGGAATCTTAAATTTTTAATAAAATTTAAAAAAAAATTATTTATAATAAAATTATTTTAATAATAATTTTTATTTAATAATAATTAAGAAAAAAAAAATATTTTAATTTTAATAATTAATAAAATATAAATTTTTATTTATTAAATAAAAATAAAAATAAAAATAAAAATAAAAATAAACATTAAATAAATATATAAATAAATATAATAACACAGAAGCTTTTTTTAATATTATATTTATTATCAATTTGTTTGCCTAATATATATTATTATCTACTTTTTTAGTTTATAAGTTATATAAAAAACTAACAAAAATAAATAATAAACTTATATTCTTATTTTCTAAATATTACTTACCTTTGCCTTGAATAAAAACTCTTGTTTTACATTAAATAAGATTTATTAATAACAAAATATTAGGTTCTGAATTTAATACCTTTACATAAAAAATATAAACGAAACTTTTTAAATTATAAATAATAAGTTGAAAATCCTTATTTATATCTATTCATTAGTGCTAATTCAAGCTGGTTTATATATTTACAATTTTCTATTTATTTTGCAAAAATCATAAATAGATTAGTTGGATTTACTTATATTTTATTTTTAGTGAATTGCTCTGCTCAAGATTTGACGAAAACAAAAGTGAAAAGTGAAATGATTTTAAATTTGTTTTAGAAAAACGTTAAGAAACTCAGGATGATAGATCGACGGCCATAAGACCAAATTTATAATATTACTAATTTTTATAATTAATTAAATATTTTTTTATCAAATAAAATAATTAAAATAAATTTTTTATTTATAAATAATTTTAATATTTAAAAAAAATTATTAATAATAAAAATATTATTTAACAAAAGTATTAATATTTTCAAAAATAAGAAAAGAAGCAAAACATAAAAATAAAAAAGCAATACTCCATATTAACCCCATATATCTAATCTACTATAGTAATAGTAGAAGTTTTAAAAGCTTTGTTTTGAACACTAAAAACTGCACTTTTAGAAGGATTATCATTTGTGGCATAAAAAATAAGAAAATAGTCTTTATTGCTTTTTAAATTAACAAACGAAATTTAACGTTAAATATCCACATTAGAGATATTATTAAATAAATGAGTTAAAGATTAATCATTAATAAAGTCAAAAAAGCTTTTATATTCAGGTATAGTCTTTCCCGCATACACTCCAATATAAACAAACCCTTTAGTTCTCTTAATTGTATAGGAAACATCAATAGAGTTATGTGTAACATTACTTATACTAAAAGCTATTTTAGGAGCATTTTTTTAGTCAACATCTTCAGTCTCAGCTTCTACTAAATAAGGATATCCTTAAGGATTTGAGGTAAGACTAAGTAGATTTATCGAAAATTCTTTTTTCTATATATATTCTCTTATATTAAGATTATCCGTGTCTTATGGTAATTTTAGATTTGGTAGAATGTAGAATTAATAAGTGTATAGTTATGTTTAATTATTTATGTCTTTTTTGAAAATTTCTGTTTCTGATTATATAAAATAAGGATATTTTTAACCGCAGTATACATTAAGTTCGTTTATAACTCTTTCATATTTTAATTAAAAAAGTTAAGATAAAGCGCATAAAAGTTCCTTATTTTATGCGTATGTTAATTATTAACTAAACTAGAGAATACATTTCATTAAAAAACCACCGTTTTTTAGTATACTAAATTCTAGTTTTTCTATTTTTTCGCTTTGAAAGTTATTTTAATTCACGCATATATAATTAAATAAATAAACACTATCACTAATTAAACTTGTAAAACTTTATTAAATAATTTCATCTTTAGAATATGCTGTTTCCCTCCCATAAATTGAAAAATCTTCTTAATCTTCATAAAAATCTCTATTAGATTTTAAAATAGTATTCATATTATCCACTTATAGTATATTCTATATTTATTATTCATCCTTTTTTAATTGATTTGGTGTTAAAAAATAATAAATAACAGACGGTTAATCACATTATAATGATATTTTAATCGTATTTTCAATAGCTATTACTTTAGGGATTGGAAAGGCCTTCGGCTTTTGCTAAAAAAGCCCTGTATTTTTTACCAACTTAACTTTAATAGTTTCAGGTTTATTAAAATTTTAGGCATTCTTTCCATCTAATTAAAAATTAATGTCAATAGTAGTGTTATCAGTAATATCTTCTGGTTTAAGTACTCCTTTTTTACTTTTAAAAACAAAATACATTCTCTAAAATTATCTATCAGAAATTTTATTATATAATAAAAGAGGATTATCCTCTGCCAAAACAACTTCTAAATTATTAAACTACCCCACTATAGTTACATAAGAAATATCTAAAACTGGAAAAGCACTCGAAAAATCGAATATAAAAGGTAAACTAGAACCTCCATCAATAGGAATTTCATAAAAGTCTAGTTTTCGTTTTATATTGACAGTTCCTTTATTTGTGCTTACCACTATTTTCAAAGGGGGCAACTCCATATATTATTGCTAATAATCTCCTTTAATTTTTAAAGCTTTGAGTGTGTAAATTCCAGGGGAAGTGTTCATTTAGGCGGCTATATAAAATTCAGAAAAATATAAGCCGGTAAGAACATTGAATGAGTTTGTTAATAAATCATTAAAGTAAAAATATTGGTTATTCTGTGTAAATTAATAGATAAATTGGGTCTTAAATTTTTCACTGGTAGCTGTTTTTAGCTATATTATGCTGCTGTAAAAGCCTATGAAACAGATAAAAGCATCATCTGATATTTTTTAGGGGATGTAAAAATCAGAAATATTAATAGTTTAGATTTAGGTTACTTTTTGGACCCATTAAAGGTCGATTTTGTTTGATTCGTTTATGTATTCAATTTCTTAGGCTTGGTAGTCCGAAGAATATTAAAGAATAAATGACTCGTCAGTTATTTAGGTAACAAAGCAAATAAATTTAATATTTTTACAGGCTTTACTTGGAGAGATTATATTTTTAATCGTTATTATATAATTTTGTAAAACAGTACTTCCTTTGTTTGTTAAATCAAGATAATCTTCATCATTTTTGGCAATAAAAATTCTCATTCTAGAAGAAGAAATAAAATCACATTATTTTTATAAAAAAGCGCTATCTTCATTTTTAAGAAAAGGAGATCCTTATTTATATGTATTTTAAGGATCTTCTCTTGCAAAACTGCATTCTTAATTTAAACTTTTAAAAAGAGAATCAAATTCTTAAGGGAAATCTACATAAAAAATATTGTTTTTTTATACATATTATCTTTATATTTATATTTTAATCTATATATTATGGGCTCTCCTTATAATATTCTAATTCAAAACGACTGATAACACAGAAAAATAAGAAAACTCGTCCTCAAACAAATTAGATGGATATGTATCTGTAAATACACCATGTTTTATCAATCCATTCTATAAATTATCATCGTCATCTACTCCGACCCAAAAAATAGGCAAATTATAAGAATCTAATACTCTAGGCATTGAAACTCCAAAAATATCAAGATAAAAAGTAGAAGCTACCTAATTATTGGCATATACTTTTATTTTTCTTTCGTTTATTATCTCACAATAAGCTAAAGTGGAATTTTCTAGAGTATTTTCGAATGTAGGCTAATTTGTTATATAACATTCTACTTTGTTATTTTTGTTCAATAGAGGGGAAAAGCCCATTCCAAATTCTACATAAATCCTACTTTACAAACTTAAAGGAACATTTACTGAGACTTTAATTTTATAATGAGCTTCCAAACCTTAAGAAGAGAAATATCTCAGTACAATTTAAGGATTTGGTACATAATTAGGATCAATTATTTTTGCAGGATTAGTAAAGATTTTGTCTAAGGAATAATTATTAATTAAAGATGGATTCGGCATTTAAGGACTTATAGGCGCATCAGGGTATTTTTGTTCACTTTTTTATTTCTAAAGACTTATAATTACAGGTCTAGCAGGAGGAATATTACTAAATAAATCTTACAATTCAACTTTTATATTTTTGGAAGAATTAATGTCATTTCTTTTAGGCGTATTTCCTCCTGTACATTTTAATTAAAGATTATAATTTTTATTTTCTTCGAAATCAAATTACTGATTTGGAATTAATTTTTATTTTTCTAAGGAAAAAGACTGCCAATTTCTTGATAGAGTAAGCTGATAGTTTTATTTTTCAAAAATTTAGCATTTTACAGAATTTTTAATCAAAAGTTGATTCTAAGTTTAGTCCATTAGAAATCCAAAATCAAATTTATAAAAATTACTCTAATAGAATGTACTCCTATAATTACTTGAAAACTCAACTAAAAAAGCGCTTCTTGCTCCTTCTTCAGGAATTTCCACTTGTAATTATTTCAAGTTTATTTCTTATAAAACATTTGTATCGGCTAAATTAAAATCTCCTTCACAATATTAATAAATAAGATAATCTTTTGGGTCATTATATAAATCTTCTCCATATACTCTGCCTTCAATAATTGGTATAAGTATATTAATCTTAAATTTATAACTTTTAGAAGAGTCTAGTATTACAGAAAGGTTCGTTTAAACTTCAATTGATAAAATTGAATTTTATTCAATTAAAAAAGTATTTGTTTATGGGAATTTAATCACATCAATTGATAGAGTAAGTTTTAAATAATTAAGTTCTGATACATTCACACTACAACTTAAATTTGAATGAATACATTTTTTCACTTATAGTGATTAATATACATCTTAATGTAATTAAATCTTCAATTAAATCGACTTGAACCCTTAGATAGCATTTTAGTCCAATAATAAGCTTTTCCCGTCCCATTTTATATCAAAAAGCAAGCTCTATATGCCGTAATTGTCCACATTTCCAAAACATCTCTTCTTAGTCTTTCAGATCTGCAACTCCAGTATTTCCATTTAATACTTGGATCATTTATATCTGTTTATTCTTCTGTTAACCCTTCGTCCTTCTTAAAGCGATTAAATTTCCTTACTATTTGAAAAGCTATAAGAAAAAACAGACATTAAAGGATATTTTTCAACAAAAAAATTGGGGAATTAAGCATTTAAAACATTAACTTTTCTCAACGTTTTTTGGAAATTCTAATCATCTACAGGGCAAAAGATAATATAATTATATTACTTATCCCTATATACTTGGCTAGGCTTATTAAATTTATACTTGAAATTAGTACAATATAAATAATCTTAATTTTCAAAATATACTAAAGCTAAATCAAATATATTTAAACTGAAGCTTGAAATTGTTAAACCTGCTCCATATTATCCATTTCCAACAACTAATATATTAATATATCATTTATTTTAATATTTTTTTTTTTAAAAAAAATACATATTTTATCTATATTGGTATCAAAATTAGTTATAATACTATTATTATTAGGTGTTTACCCTGCTATACTACTTTTAGTATCAAAATTAAAAGAAAATTTATCAGTGGCTATAAAAAATATATACATAAAAATAAATTTATATTAATTTTTTAGATACTTTCTTCTAACCACAGTTTTTATGTGCTAAAATCAACTAAAGCTTAAGTATTTTTACCAATTTAATTAACGTTATTAATTTTACTTTTTAAATTTCCTTGTACAGCAGGACCAAAGACTCTGTAAACACTAACAATTTGAACCAACCCTTCAACTCCTAAAGAGTTTCTACTTTAATTTGCAAAAGCTAAAACAACATTTTTAGGTAATTTATCAACTTCATTCTATAAAGGAATAAGTAAATTAAATTCATTTTCAACATTATGTACATTGGAAACTTCAAAATGTTTTTAATTCATCCATGTATTTTCACCTGAAACTGTCCCTTCACATTTTACATATTCACATGTTCCAAAACTACAGCCAATACTTCTATCTTAGGTCTAGCTTGCATTTTCCAAAAAGCTTTCTGCATTAATTAAAGAATCTAAAAAAACCAAAATCTTATTCGAATTTAAAAATTCCTAATTTAAAATAGTACCCCCAATTCTTATCATAGTCGGAATAAACATCCCATTATTTGTCATTGCACTTCCTCCGTAAAAATTAACATAAGAAACTTTAATATTATTCAAATAATAGCCTTGTATAGTATATGCGTTTATTAATTAAGCAGTAACTATCTTATATTCTAATTATCCTGAAATATACTCAGCCTCTTCAAAAGAAACAACAAAATCTAACAAATCTTAATCAGGGTAAAGTTATGAATGGAATCCTTATGGAAAAGAAACATGCCTTAAAGATACTACAGCAGATGAAAAACTTAAAATATCTCCACTAGCATCGACTTTATATCCCTAAAAATTATTACATTGATCAGCAACATAATTAGCATCATCTTTTGCTCCACATTCGAATCTTGCAAATGAATATTTATTTGAATTCACTGTATTTTCTATATTATCTATTGTATTAACTTACTAATCTTAAGGTTTATCATACCAAGTACATTTAGGTATTTTCCTAGTTTTAGATAAAGATTTGAATTCCTTATAGCACTCGAGAAAATCTACATCCCATCTTTTAAGTACATTATTATACCCCACAAAATCAATTCCTAGAGTTTCAAATCCTCTTTTAATTTAGATAATTTTTGGATTAAACATAATATTAAGTCTTATAAAAATTTTTTTATTTAAAGGACTTTTCGTCATCTAATTATAACTACTTTTTAAGAAAAAAATGACTTATTAATTCTCGAAGTTGCCTGGAACTATCCCTATAGTACCTTAATTTTCTATCATAAGATTCTACATGGCGTTCGGCAGACTCGATAACGACCCATCATCATTTGCAGTTAAAACCTAGCTCGTTCCAAATTAGAAAACATCCTATTTATGCCAACCTGTTAAATCCAAATACTCAGTATTGGTGAAAAGTTCTGTCGAGATACCCTCTAGAGGTCTAAAAACACTAACATTATTAATTTAATTTCCTTAGTTATCAAAAACTAGAGATTCAATTTCAATTCCTCCGAAATTAGTTAAGTCTGGTGCGTCGTTTTTATAAAAAATTTTAACCGCAACGAAATATTCTGTGTCTTTATTTAAGAAAGCTCCCACATTTTTACATATAATTTTTCCTAATTAAAAAAAGCAAGAAACCTTACTTTTCCCCTATAAAACAGGCAAATTTGTGACAACAGAATTTTCGAAAATTCCATTACACTAAGCGTCTATTTTTACTGTCAATTCACTTCCTTCTGGTAATATATTATCGACTTTAAATTTAAATTACACTGAGTTTGCAGGTCCTAAAATACCACCAGGTGCACTCTTGAATAATTTAAAAGGCTACGAAATATTCTCGTTTTCGTGAATCCCCCATAGATACATATTTGCGACTTTAGTTATTTTTATTTCCTTAGTAGATAAAGAGTTTTATTTTGTTCCTTTTTCAAGTACTCTGTTGTCAGTTCTAGCTGTTAAATATACCCGAATATCTCTTAAGGAGACAAACAAAGGATTCATTAATTCTATTTTGACGCGAATTGCTTATTTTTATTTAATGGGAGATTTCTAGTCTATTTTTAATATTGAACCATTGCTTTATATTTGACATTCTGCATTTTACGACTCTATATGAATACAGTTTGGATTTTGGGAAAAATTGCAATTGTTTTAAAAAATTGTGCACAAACCAACAAATATAAAATCACTTTAATTTTAACTTCCATATACACTACTACCTTTATTTATTTCAACAAAATAAACACCACCTATAAATATATTAATTAAAAAACAATATTAATAAAATCAAAATAAATATATAAATAATATATATATATATATATATATATATATATTATATATATTTATATATATTTATATATTTATCTATATTTATATAATAGTTTTTATTTATATTTAAAAATTTATCATAATTTACCTTCATTTAATTATGTTTTAGTTGGAATTATATCTAAATTAGCACTTAAAGTTACACCTGGGTCTGTTATATAATTTAATTAAGGTTTATCTATCATAGTTAATTCTATAATAATACTTTCTGTTTTTATAGAAGGTGCTATATATAAATAAAAAAGAGAAAGGTTTTCATCAATTGTAATAAAATCTTCTTAGTTCGAGGTTCTTGTCCTCATAGAAATAGGTTCATTATAAGCTTTTGGCTATATTTTTTCTTTGAAAACAATGTCAATTTTGTATGTTTTCTCTTTTTCTATATCTACATTGAAATTAAATAAATAAGAACCATTTTAACTTTGTATATCTGCAGCTATATTTTAAACTAAATTTATTTCGCTTTAGTAATCTTAAATACTTCCATATACGTCTTTATAAGGACCTAATTTTATAGGAAATTGCACTTCTACGAAATCGTTTTTTTTTAATTCTGTTTAAAATTTTATTAAAACACTTATTTTACGAGCTTCTCCATCATAGTTATACTAAACTTTTAGGCTTTCTCCGAATATTTAGCCACAGTTAGTTTATTTTAGAAAGATTACGAGATATAATAATATTAAAATTATTAATTTTTAGTTTATTATATTGTTTTTTTAAAACATAACTTTTATTTACTATTATTGATTAATTTGTACTATATTAATATTTTTTTTAATTTGTAATTAAAAAAAATATTATAATAGTTAATTATTTATTTTTCCTTTTTAAATTTTTTTGTAAAGTTATTTTTAATATGTTCTTACGTAGACAAAAAATTAATCGCTTTTTAATATTTTAAATATATAACTTTTTAAAAAATGTAAATTTTCAATTTAAATATTCAATCATTTAAAATGAATAGAAAGTTGTTTAACTTATTTTAAATACTAAATAGCATATTTTTAAAATTAAAAATTCAAATATAAAACTAAATTTTAATAAAATTAAAAATATTTAAACTATTTAATATTTTTATTTATTAATTATTTATTATTTTATTTGTTTAGGAGTTTAATGTATTTTATTTGGTAACATAAATAATTAAAATAAAATTTTAATATTTAGATATTTTAATAAAATAAAGAAACTATAAAATATTGAATTAATAATATAAAAATTATTAAAAGTTAGTTATTAAACAATATTTATTATTAATTTCTAAAAGAGAATATAGTTTTTTTATATGATTTTAAAACTAAGAAAAAAAAAAATTAGTTGCCATAATTTATTATAATATTGCCAAAACGATATAAAATGAATTGCATAATTTATTTATAATATTACCAAAATAAAATAGCTTAATTTTATTAATAGTTTTTTCTTATGTTTATTTATTAGATACATTAAAATGTGTCTAAAATATATTTTATTACAAAAGATTTAAAATATAAATATTGATTATTATATTATGAAATTAAGTCAATTTCATCTGTAATAATGCAATAAAATGTTGGTTATTAATTTTAATTATAAAATGATATAATCAAAGCTTTAATAAAGGCTTAAATTTTATAATTTTATTTTATTTAGAAAAAGTTCATTTTAATAAATATAAATTTATGCATTTTATTAAAAAAAAAAATTAATTTTTTTTTATAATAATAATATTAATTTAATTATTAGTTTATTTCTTCTTTATTAAAAATAAATATAAATATTTTCCTTATAATTAAAAGTTTCACTAATTTACTAATTTAAGATATTAAAATAATTTAAATCTAAATGTGTGTATTAAAAATTTAAAATATGTTCTAACGCATTTATTAGTAATGTTAATCAGAAAATAATAAACTGATACAATTCGAATTTACATTAGATTTTTTTTCATTATCTATATATAAAAAAACAGAGAAAAATTCATGTTATTTAAAAATACAAAATATAAGTAGATATACAATAAGTTAAAGTTTCCTTACTGAAATGAATGCTTTCTTATAAGCAAGTTTAGCACATAAATGATCTACGATGATTAATATTAATGTCTAACTCCTTAATATAGAGTAAAGTAAGGATCAGAATGTAAATGTGAAAAAGTAGAACTCGGAATCAAGGTACTAAATGTGAATGATAATTATTTAACCAAACCCACTCTAAATGCTCTTTCTCAAAAGAAAGTAACTAATCTTTAGTAATTGATTAAATAACTTTTGACTGTAGAAGAATTAACAATATTAATTTAGACTAAGATTGTAAACCTTAATTATAATTAGTTGTCCTTTGGTTCAAAGACTGCTTAAACTACACTAATTTACCCCAAAAATGCGTCAATTTAGCGAACTAGACTTAAGTAAATTTATTTATTCCTCTCATTGATTTTTACGATCTTTAACTTAAACACCTAATTATCTGCAAATCGAAGAACTATCTATTAAATAATTTGCTTAGCAAATCATGCGAGAAGAGTCATTAGATAACACAGCTTATAACTCAGAATCTGCGCCAACAGAGAACAAGTGGAGGTTTTTCATTTAACAGTCTCTAAATAAATTACAGAAAGTTGTGATAAAGGAAAAGAATATATAATCGTTACCAACTTATATACTACTAGTTAAATTTATCAAAACTTACATGTAGTGAACGTTAAATTTGTAGATGATAGATAAACATTTAATGGCGGGTTCTTAAATAAAAATTAAATTCAATAGATATTGATATTTTATTATTCTAACCCCATATCAATGCTATTATTAGTGTCGAATTAAAAATTGCTCTTTAAAGAGATATTCTTTTGAGAAACTTAAAAGATGATAAAAATAATTAAATCAGTTAAACTTTCAATACTAATTTTATCACTAAAAAGGCTTAATAATAATCTGAATCATAAAATAATACTACTAACAATTCTTACTAAGGATAAATTTTTACTTTAAAATTAATTTTTATTAGTATATTAACTTATTTGAGTTTAAACTTAATAAAAATTGTATATTTTATATTTTTTTATAAATTTTATATTATAAAAGTAAAGTTTTACCAATTTTCTATATTTTAATCTTTAATATATATATATATATATATATTTATTATTTAATTAATTAAATGTTAACTTTATAATTAAACTATATGTTTTAATTTTATTTTATTTTAATTATTTTAAAATTATATTTTATATGAATAATGTAAAAATATGTTTATAACAAATAAATTATATAAATAGGAATAAATATATTTAATAAATATTATCAAAATATACATAAATTTATTATTAATTTATTAATTAGGTGAATCATATTTTTTATTTATATTTAGAATATTTTTAAACTAATTTTTTTACTCCTTTGTTAAATTAACAATTTGAATGATATTACTTTAGGTAGATTATTTCCTTTTATTAATAAATTCATTATTATTATATTTCGAGTTGCCTGCTTAAATAGCGCTTTCATCAGAAAATTATTATTTCAAATTACTATTTATATTCTAATTGACTTATAAATTAATATCAAAAAAATTATTTAGATTAACACTATTTATATCATAATATTAAAAATTAATAGAATTTATATTGTTTTTTTAAATGTTTTAAAATTAATATTATTAATAATTTTAATTGTTATTTATTTATTAATCAATTTTATTATTATTTTGAATATATTAATTTTCAAAAGCATTATTATTTAAATTATAATTTTATTAATTTGATTTTACTCCATTAAAATTTATCATTTACCCATTATTTAAAGAAAATTTCTAATCAATTATAACATCATTTTTTATAAAATCATTCTTATTTTAAATTTATACAACCTACATTTTCTCATTAATAGAAACACTCTAACTATTTTTTTTATGATTCGAGAAAATACTCTAAATCCACTAAATAATTCGATCATTAACTTCTTAACTTCTAGCATCGTTATGATTCCCTTCCACATACTATAATTACTTTAATCCTTTATATAACTTATACAATAATTCCGTATGTTCATAACTAATAAAACTGTCTTATTAAGAACACATAAAAAAGCACGGCACATTAATATTAGCAATAACCTTAGTCAAATCAATTGAGTGTATATCTAAATCACATTTTTCCTTTACTTGATTTTCCACATACAATAAAACCGTTTTAGCCATAATTTCAGGCATTCCTGTTTTTTATTTAGCTAAATCTAACGCCAACATTTTTAAACTGGCAAATCCGCTATCAAAAATTACTGCTTTTATTAATTTTTAAAATTCTTCATTTTTTGATAAATATAAAAGTATAGTTACTGCACCCATACTTTTTTTTTTTTAAAAAAAAATATTTATATATTTATTACCTCCTACCCCATAAACATATATTATTTATTAAAGGTTTTTATTTTAAATATTCAATAACACATTCTAAATCTTAACTTTCATTTTTTCCTAAAGTTACATATTCTCCATCAGATTTGCCACTTCCTGTAAAATCAAAACAAAACAAACCTAATCCCTGCGATAGGACTTGTGGTAAGATATATAAAGCTTCTAACTTCGAACCTGAATTGCAATGACAATATACTATAATATTATATTTTTGGTGAGGTTATTCATCATTTTTTTAATATTAATTTAGAGGTTCGTAAAATGAGCATTACAATGATTATTTTTTTTTATTTTTTATTATAAAATCAGTTCTTTTGGATTTATATCTACCATAATTTTAAATCGAATTTCCTTATTTTTTTAGTAGTTTTTATGTTTATTTTATGATTTTACCTAAATCTTATTGTTCATATTCTTATCTTATTGGCCTAATAAATGCCTTCCACATTAAATTTTTGAAAATTATTTATAAAAAATTAATATGATATATTAATAATCATTTAAAGTAAAACAATTTATAGAGAAAAAATAAATATATTTTTTTTAAATAAATAAAATATAATTAATTTTTTTTTTTAAATATAAGATAAATGGAATAAAATTTAAATTTTAAAGAAACAGATAAACAATAAAGTTGAATATATATAATATATTATTTTTTTAATTTTTTTTTTTTTCAAAACAATATTTTCTAATTAATCATACTTTTTGCTGATTTTTCGGTCTCTATATTTAATATCCTCCCCCTACTCTAATTTCTTCATTTTATTTTTTCTAAATTTTTTTAGCGTCTACTTTTTCCTCATCATCGAAATCAGCATCGAGCATAGCTAACGATTTCTATTAACTTACACTTTCCAGTTAATTTAAAGTTTTAACTTTATTTTTAATTTCTTTCACTTTCTATTCCAATTTCCGACTTATTAATATATATTATAAATCAGCTTAAGAATGCGCACCTTTTGAATCAACTTTAATATTTTTATTATTATTTTTTCCAAGTTATTCATCGATATTATTTATAGATTTACATACATTAGGAATATATTTGAAATTAGTTTTATTATTTTATTTATCATTATTTTATCTTTTATTATTATTTTTTACTTAATTATTATCATCATTTTATTGACCAATCTATTATTTATCTTCTTTTATATCCTATATTACATTCGCCGAAGATTCTTTTTCTAAATTATTTTTATTCTAATTTTCTTTTCCATTTAAAATTTCTGAATTTTAATTACTTAATTATTAATTCAAATTTTCATTTACTAAATTTTTATTTGACATAACCATACTAAATTTAACTTACTTTTTACTATCATTTTCTATATTTTCATTAATTTATTATTGATTCTAATTTTAATCCAATTATTAATATTCCGGTGTATTAATTTCTATATTTTAATCTTTAAAATGGTCCATTTCAATATCCAATTTTAAATTTTTCAAATTTTCGTTAGTTGGTTTAACACTTGTTTGTTTATCATAACATACTTTTAAAAATAATGAACTTATAAAAAGAATTAAAATCTAAAGAACAAACAATATTATTTAAAAATTCAAATACCAATTTTTAAATTTTTGATAATAATCATCTATATACGCATTAGTACTAGTATTTGAGCATTACAACCCACTTATTTTTTATAAATTACTATTATACATATACACAATAATAAAAGTAGCTAAAACAAGAAAAGACTAAGTTAAAAGCAATATTCCAAAACATATACCAGCAAGCTTGTTTAATTAAAAATTATAATATCTTATTTTTAAAAAATAAGCCTAAACTACAAAAAAAATAAGCAAAAGGCTATTAAAAACAAAACTGATAATCCAAAAAGTATTAATTTAATTATATTTCTTATCTAAATTTATAAAAAAACTCATATATTAATTTTTACAATCTCCTTACTACTTCCAAGGGATATAATCCTTTACATAGAATTTATATTTATAATTTATGCTAGTTTCATAACTCGGAATTTTCTCCAATATTTCTAAATAATTATTTGCTTAAAAAAATTAATTCTCCTATTATTATTATATTAATTTAAAAGTATTATCTATATCTGATTTTTGACATCCACTTTTAAATTCTTTCATAAAAAATAATTGTCTTCGTTATGGCGTTACATTCTAGTTTTTTTTAAAATACTTACACACGCCTTCGCCTTCGGAAACTATCCCTTATACTATAGGATATCCATCATTAGAGGATCTTGAATAATAAAATTAATTGCCATTTGATTAAATGATAGTTGTACTGTTCTCAGGTTTATCTTTTCCATATTGAATAAAATTTATAGGACATTGAAAGGTATTAGGCAAACAAAAACTAAATAATCCATCACCACATTTATTATATTCAGAATTAGAACAATCAGATTAAATATAATTAAAACCTTTAGCTCTTTGAATACAAAACTAAAAATTTTGAGAATCAATATTCCAATAATGAAAAACTTTTGAAGGGACTCCAGCTATTGGAATGCAATTACTTTATATCATCTAACTTGTGCATTTTTATTTTATTAGATTATTTACATATTAAGGCAAGCTTGATTCAGTGCAATCACAACCTTCTACTGTACCTGGAAACTAATAATTAATTAAATATTCGTTACATTATTAATCACTTGAATATATATCAGTTATTGGCTCTGTTTTCCAATTTTCAATTACATAATAATGATCTAATGGAATTTCAGGAAGAATAGGATAAACAGCAGATTATATAATAGTGAATATAAAGGCTAATAAAATTAACATGCGTATTATTTTTAATTTTGTACTATATTAATTTTTATTGGGATTATTTTCTAATGACAATTCATTTTCAATTTGTTTTTTTGATAATTCATTTTTCATTTATTTTTTAAAAATGAATAAAATAATGTTATGGGCAAAAATTAAGTATTTTTTATAAATTAATAAAATTTAAAAAATAAATTTTTATTTGATTTTAATTCATTCATTCATCTGTTATTTATACTAATATTAAATTTTTTAATTATTATTATATATATATTTATTTGAAATAAAATTTAAAATAAGTTATTTTTAAAATAATTTTTTTATTAAATATATATATAAAAATAAATAATATTATGTAATTATATCATTTATTTAAATAAAAATAATATCTTAATAACTTATATATAATATAATTTTTAAAAATAAATATATATATATATTTTATTTATATATTTCTATTAAAATATTATTTATCCTAAATTAAAACAGAAACTAATATAATATAAATATTATTTATTTATATAATTTTAATTTGGTTTTTATTATTTAACTTTTATTTTAATAAATTCATCTTTTATTAACCTTAAAACTTATAAAATATTTTGTAGTTTTTTAATATAAAATCTTAAAGTAAGTGAATTTATTAATATCTGTTAACTTATGATTCTTTTTTATTATATTGAAATAATTTATAAATAATAATATAATAAATATAAAAATATTATAAAATCATTAATTATATTTTTAATAATTTTATATTTATTTTAATTAATCTATAAAATATATGTATTTAAATATTTTGCATTTTAATTGATACTTTTCAAATTTATCTTATATAAAAATATCAAAAGATACAATAAATTAACTTTTCTGTTTAAGATATAAACTTATTTTACATAATTTTTATAAATTTATTTAAGATAAATCAAATTAGCTATTATAATCTATACTACTTTATATATTATTTTAAATTAATACTTTATTTAAAAAATACTATATTAAAAAAAATATAAATAAATCATTATAAAAATAAGATTTTTGATATTTTTTTTTTATTGAATTAAAATAATTTATTTAAAAAATATAAAAATAAAAATTATTTTATATTATTTCTAAATTCCATACATATAAATTTATTTGGATTATTATATTTTTAATTATTTAAAAAAAAAATATAACTATTTTCATTATTTATATTTTTAAAGTGCTTTAAATTTATTATATAAAATACTTAAATAAAGTTTTAAAAATTTAGATTTAGATATTTAATTTTATAAAATATTAAACTATATATTAGTTGATAAAAATATATATATAATTAAATATTATTTATATAAAGATGTATCAATTTTAAAATAATTTAATAATAAAAAATAAAATAAAAATTATTCAATATTTAATTAACATAGAATATTTTAAAAATATTATTAATACAATTACAATATTTTCTTTTTATTTTGAAAAATATTAAATTCAAATAAATACATTTTATAATTATAATTAAAAATTAAATTTAAATATCAATTTTGTTTTTTGTTTTATGTATTTTTTTTTAAAAAAAACCTAATCAAAATATGATAATAAGTTCTCTATTTTTTATTGTCTTTTTATTTTTGTTTATTTGTTTTTTAAAAAAATATCAGATAATAGAAAAAATATGGCAAAACATGTGATAGATTATATCTTTTAAATATAATAGCTTTATTTTAATAGAAAAATATTAATATTATTTTTAAGGTTAATTTTAATGACTTGTTTTAAGATATTTTAATAAATAGTTTGACAATTTCAGTATTTAAAATAAATTTAGTTAAAATATTTAAAAAAAATTCTTAATATAATAAAATATTTATATATTAACAGGAAACTACGAAATTGGTTTTAATTCGAAAAATATTCAAATCAAATCGTAATTATTATTAAAAATTTAAATTTTTTTTCATATAATATGTTTTAATTATGTTTAAAGTATAAAAGCTAACATTAAAAATCATTATTTTTTTATTTTATTTTAATAGTAAGATATTAATTGTTAAATTTATTTCAATTTTATAATTATAATATTATATATTAAAAATTTCTAGTAATAAAATATATTAATATATGATTTATTTAAAATATTTAAATAATTAAAATTAATAAATAACATATAGTTTCAAAAAACTAAATATATATATGATAATTTAAATTATGAAATGTAAAATAAAGTATAAATCATATTTATAATAAAAAATTGAAATAAGAAAATAATTTATAAATCTTATATTAAAAAAAAAACTTAATATAATTAAATAAATAAACATTATTTTAATTATATATAAAAATAAAATATTATAGGTTAAATATTATATAATAATAAATTAATTTTATTATTTAATAAAATAAAAGCCAAAATTAAAATTTTTCTAATAATTTTAATTTATTTTATCCATTACTATATTTTTTAATAATTAATTTATAATTTTTTACATTAATACATAAAAGGGGTATTAAATTATATAAAAATACAAAGTACAATTTTCAGATTTTTTTATATTTTTTTAATTAATCTTTTTGTTTACTTTTAAAAAATCATCCATTTACTCTATTATCTTAATGTTTGAAATTTATTCATATTTTTAATTCTTATTTAAATTTTAAATATAATTAGTTAAGTATTTCTTAATAATCAATATCCTATTACTATTCATCTTACTAATCACTATCATAATTTTAATTTTCATCATAATTATTTACATTTTAAAACCCGAACTAATCAATCTCAAATTCAACACTAATTTTATTTTAGTATTTTTTTTTCTTTTTGTATACTTAAAAAAAATCATCTTTGTAAAAATACTCTAAATTCTTTATATCCTAATAAAACTATTCTAATTCTTGTAAATTTTTTATGTAAAATCCAAAAGCAAGCGAACTTTCCAATTTTTTCTAACTAACTCTATTTATAAACTTACAAAAATAAGTGTCAATATTCTAAACTGTTTTTTCATTTTAATGTGCTTCTTATATATAATGTGGATCTAAATATATAAAATCATTATCAATAATTCCTAAAAAATAATAGGCTTTTCCAGGAACTCCACCTATTTATGTAAATATGATTTTCATATATTTTATTTATTTAAAAAAATATAATTTTAACCAATCATTCCTATTGAAAATTAATTTTTAAGTAAAGATATTACAACTTCTTGTTATTTTTTATTGGATATTTTATTAGTATTAGTTAAACAAGAGATAAAAATTAATAAAGATTTATCTGATTAATGGCATTTTTTACATATTAAGTTATCTAAAGTATTTTACTTCGAACTTTTTTTTCAAAAAAAAATAAAATAAAAAAATTAATTTTTTTTACGATTTAGTTATAACTTCAAATGAATCTTCAATTAATTATGAACTGTTATTATTCAAATCTAAATTTTGTTGCTATTCATTATGAATATTTTAATTACATAATTTTGCTTAACTATCAACCATTAATTTAATTAAATCTTCAAAAAAAATCAACTTATGATTACTAAAATATTTAAATTTTAAATTTTCAGTTCCTTTAATAGAACTAAAATTATATAATTTTTCGAGGATAAAACATATTCTGTTCGGATCATACCAATTTTAAGGTTTTAAATCAAAATAAAAATAAGCTAAAGCTGATATTTTTTATATACTAAAAAAAGAAATATTTTTATTTAATCCATCATCATAATCTAAAAAGCCTATAAAATTTAAAAATAAAAAAAATAAAAAATATGATTACAATTTATAATATTTGTAAACTCTAATTTTTTTTTGACAATATAATTTTTTATATGAACTTTTAAACCTTATGCTAACATCATTTAACCTGCTCTTATCATACAACCCCATCCTTAATCGGTTTATATTTCTTATTAATAACCTAAGCTTTTAAGAAGAGGGGGAAAATTTTTTCTATATGTAAACCAAATAGTATTTGTGAAAATATTTAAAATTTCTTCTCTTTTTTATTGAATTTGTTTTATATTTTGTATATTAATTTGCTTCCCAAATAAATATATCGTGCTATCTTCATTTATTTCTATTATTTTTTATTAATTTCTCCATTAAATTATATTATATCCTAGCAAAATTCTTTCATTAATATTTATTTTTTAATAATTCTTTTTATATTTTTTTTACGTTTTTTCTTTAATATATTCTGCAACTGATTAATCTTCTTATTATGATGAATTTCTATTTATTTAATTTTTTTGATAACCAAAATATTATTTTATTAATATAATTACTTTTATTCTAGATAACCTAAAGAAAAATAAAATTAATGTTTATTTTTTTAATTGTCATTTTATTAAATCATTTTTTATTTTTCAGTATTTATTAAAAGCTTTTTTTATGTATTTTTTCTATTTTTTATTATATTAAAAATTACTATTTTTTTTTTATAAAAAGTAATATTCAATCGCTTATATATATATAATGCATGTAAGACTTTTTTTATTTCTTATATTTATGAATTGATATTTTATAAAATTTTAAGGATTATTATTTTAAAAAAAAATAATTTATATTATTTTTGTAAAATAAATATATTATATTATTTATTCATATTGTATTTTTAGATTTTTTTAGAATTTATTTTAAAAACTCATTAAAAAATAAAAAGATAAGATTAAAATGATATTTTGCTTTTTTAAAAAAAATAATAATAATATAAATAAATAAATAAAAATATATCGACAAGTAATACATTTTTTTAAAAAAAATCAATTTTTATTACTTTAAAAATTGTTCATAAAAATTATTTATTGAAAATAAAAATCCTTCGTTAATTCCTAATAATTATCATTTCTTTTTATATTGTCCAAATAATAAAGTTAATAAATTTCACGAAAATTCATGACTTTTACTTTCCCTTACATAATAGAACAAGAACCTTAAAAATGAAAAGAATGCAAAAAAAAAAAATTTATCCAGATATATCGATTATAATAAAATAGTGAAAGTGCTACTATTCCATAATCTTTTGATAATTGTGAAGTAATAATAGTATTCAATGATACCACAATTAAATTATAAATAATATAAAACACCGTAAATATTATTATACATAGTATTAATCATAAATAATACTCAAGGCCTCACTAATGTCCAAACCCAACAATAACACTAGAAAAAACATTAGCCATGTATCCTATAAAATATATAATTACCGTAAGTTACTAAAAAAAAATTAACATCATAAATACTTACTTTATTTCAATAAGAAATAGTACTCATACTAACTGCAAAAGTGTTATATTTATTTTTTTAATTTTTAAAATTTCCTTTAATTAAGCATTAAATCCTTTCTAAAATAGTACACTTTTTACTATTTTTTCATTTTAATTGCTATAATAATAAAATAAAATATCTATTTTATAAATTTTAGATACTCTAAAAATACTAAAAATTGTCAGAGTAATTATTACCCAACTTCTAAAATTTTTATTTAGATGAATAATTCGCATTTATATAAACTATGGATTAATACATCACTAAAACAATAATTATTCCAAGATTAAACACCATATTTAACAAAGAACCCCAGTTATTCTTGTATGATTATCAGGTGATACTTCTTTTATATATTATAATATTATTCTATTATTTAATCAGGGATAAAAAAGTCTCACAGTATAGATTAAGTCACTTAAAAAATTTTAAATCTGTAGATAGTTTATATTATATATTTTGATAAATAAGAACTTAAAATTGTGCCTAAAAAAATAATTCCTGTTAATGTATAAACATTTTGAAATTCTTATGTTATTTTGCTGCCATTTTCGAATTTTCAGATTTTAAATAAAGGATAATTAACTAAAAACTATTGTAAGTTAGGTAATTGTGTATCCAAAATAAAATTAAATTAAAACAGGTAATAAAACATTAGGAATATAAATATTTTACTTATACTTTTTTTACTGTAGACATATATTATTGTTTAATTTTTTAAAAAAAATTTCCATCAAAAAAAAGTCATTATAACATTTTTTTTTCGACTTTTTTGTTGTTGTTGTTTGAGTTTTCAAAAATAAACCACTCAAATATTTTTTTTCGGTATTTTCTTTTAACTCCTTTTATTTATATTAATATTTTAATTTTTATTATTATTATTTTATATTTTTTAAAAAATAATAATAAAGAATTTGCTTAAATGTTTAATTTTTATTAAATATAAAAATTATAAAATAACACATAAACTAAGAAACAAATATACTAAAAATACTTTGATATAATTTTATATCTCTTTTTTTAAAAAAAATTATTTACTTTTTATAATAAATAAAATGACTAATATAAAAGATTTTATAGAAGCTTAAGAAAATTCTTCAAATTTACTTAACCCAACTAGACTAATTGAAATTTAAAAGGCTTTAGAAATATAAGAAAAAGAATGCAATAAATATTTAGAATAATATTAAAAATCCTGTTTTTATTATAAATAAAATTAATTTTTTTATATTTTTTGTTAAAATAAAAGATGATTGGTAGAAATTTAGAGAAGGATTTTTAAGTTTAAATTATATATTCAAACCTTAAGATTTAATTAAATTTTAACTTTGTCCTGTAAATGTGAATTAAATATCTTAACTTAAGTATAATGAAAAAAAAGTATTATTAAAAATTTTTAAATTATATTTTTATTTTTAAATAAAAAAAAGTTAACAATATGCTATAATCATGTTTTAGATTAAAATCATTTTAATTAATTAGTAAACTTTAATGTAATTTACTAAATATGATTTTAAATAGTTTGAATAAATTTTTGTTTTTAAAAAAGTTGACATTTTTTTATGATTTGTAAAGGGCGAAAATAAATGAAGATAATTGTGATTAGGTTGCTTGTATATTAGTAAATAATTTTTTTTAAAAAACTTTTTATAACATTTACTTATTTTTTTTTAAAAAAAAGACGAGAGCTCTTAACTTATCAAAAACATGCAAATCAAGTTAATAATATTATTTTAAAGTTAAATTTATTTATTTGTATATATATTTTAGATGATAAAAGATGTTTTTAAAAAAATGTAAAGACCTATTTAGAAAAATTTAATTAATGTGTTGGTAATTTTTATAATTTTATTTATAAATATATAAATAAATATATAAAGGAAAAGAAGAAGATACGTTTTAAAAAGTTTACAAGTAATGTATTGTTGATTTAGCTCCTATTGTTTAGATTAAAACTAATTAATTTTGATATATTTCACATATAAATATATATATATATATATTGTAATAATCTAAATAAATCAAACATTATAAATAAGTTTATCACCTATACATTCTATAATAGCGTACATTTCGCTAAACCATTATGATTCTTAGTCTTAAAATTATTTAAAACATAATAAGGGGAATAAACCTAAAATTAACTAATCATCATTTTATCCAAATCTAAATTAAGTTAGTTGGGTTTATTCAATCTTTTTTATTTTTTTTAATAAATATAAAAATATAATAATTACTTTTCTATTCGGAGCGATTAAAGGTTCTTTTCTAGAAGTAGGTTTAACATCTAATTAAATATTTTCTGAAATAGGTTATTATACAGGAGTTGTTAATTTCATATATTCTACAATAATTATTTATAAAATCGAGCTTATTACAATTGAATTACTATTTTTTATTTTAAATAAAAAAAAAAAAAAAATTATACTTATCAATTAAATCTGACTTTTTAATTTTAAGAACACTGTATGGATTGCATATTATTTTTAAAATTAAAAATCTAATAAAAACTAAACAAAAGACAATCATTATTTTTTAATTTTTTTATATATTTCTAGTTTATAAAAAGTTATATTTATATATATATGTATATAATTTAACTTTAATCCTGAATAAGTAAAAAAATTTAAACGAATTAATTCAAATTTAAAAAGATAGTTTTATGGCAAATATCTATAATTAGAAGTTAATTATTTAAATAAAATAATTACACCATCATCTAACATATTTTAATCATTCATGTTTAAAATTCCATTTAAAATTAATTTAATAATCGCCTTTTTTATTAAATAAATAAAATAATAATAATAGAAAATACATATTTTAATAAAATAAAAACTTTTATTTCAGTATGACGTTTAGTTTTATCATTTCCTTAATATTCTTATCCATTATTTTTTTTTAAATTTAAATCAAATTTACATTTAATTAACTATAAGAATTTATAAAATTAATTTTTTTTTAATAAAATATTAAACTTTATTAATCCCATCTTTAACTGCAACTTTTAACTATTCAATAACTTTCTATATACATTTGTTTACAAATATTTATATTTTTTATAAATTATATATAATAAAAAAACACTTGAATTTAAATTTAATGAATTTAAAACTTCTTATATTTAGTATTTTCTTCTATCTTTTAAAAGATTAGGAATATGTTTTTTAAAAAAATATTAAACAAATGAAATTTAAATAAAAAATATTTTGTTTTATTTCCTTTTTTTAAATTAATTTTATTTTTTTTGATTTAAAAATATATATAGCTTAACTTTTTTTAAGGCTCATTAATAGTTGTTTCTTTATATTCTTTTCTTAATAATTCTAATTATTATTAAAAATCCTATTTTTATTATTCTAATTATTTTTCTTTTTCTTATTATATATATTCATTTAACTCATCATATTCTTTTTTTTTTTTTTTAAGTTATTTTAGTTCTTTTTTATAATCTTTAGCAAGTATATCTTTTTCATTTATAAAATTAACACCTGGCTATATATTAAGCTCTTTTTTTAACTCAATATTTTCATATTTCTATAAAAATTAAAATTTAAATATTACAAAAGAAATAATATATACTATTTATTTATATTTCTGAATAATATTAGTAGCTAATAATAATATTAAAAAAAGAAAAAAAAATAAAAAAACCTAAAGTGCTCATTAAAGGATTAAAAGGTTAAAAAAGGGAAAATTATTATTATTATTATTATTAAATTTATATTGCATTCCTTTTTAAATTTTTATTAAAGGATCTCCCATAAACTCATGTAATAATTTATTCTCATAAAGCATCTCATGGTTTTCTCTTTGAATATCATCAATTTTTTATTCCAAATAAATTTTTTCTTAATATTATTATAAACCTTCGCCCATAAAAGTTTCGTTTTTTAATTTATTTGTAATTTAATTTAAACGCTTTTTAATATATAAAATCATATATAAATAATATAAAATTACTGAGTATTCTTAATCAATTGATTTCATTTGCTTTTATTAATAATTAGTTCCATATTATTAAATAAACTATTATTCACTTTCATATATTTAATTATGTTTTCTTTATTCTATAGGAATATATTCTAATTTATTAATTTAACTAATATTTTTATAAGCTGAATTAGCAAGCGTATTTTTTGGAAAATTTTAATTTTAATTTTAAATAAACTAATATTTTTATATTTATTATTATTCATAGTTTTTTTATTATAGAATATTTTATTATTATTCATGTTTTAATAATTATTCAAGTTAATTAAATGGATCATTTTTATATGTTTATGGTAAGTTTTTATATTATCTATTCTATAATTAGTCTAACATATCTAATAAACATTCTTCCTTTAAATAATTTTACTTATTTTTTTATTAATTGATTTAAACATCTTTATTTTTTATTTTATTTAAAAAAAAAAAAATATTTATTAAAAATATTTTTACATCTTTAGTTTTGCATTTATATTTATTATTATAATTATTATTACAAAAATTGCTATTTTTAATTCATTTACTATAATTTTTAATGCTGATAGTGCAAAGCCATTTAATTATGCTGATTTTAAAACTTTATTCAAATAAATTAATTATTCATAAATGTCTATTTATATAAGATATTTACGTAGTTTTAATCATTAATATAATTTAAATAATCATTAAAAACTTTTTATTATAAGTCTTCATTCTAATATAAATGACTTGCATTATATTTTTAATCCATTAAATAATAAATAATATAAACAGAATATAAAATTTATATATTTAAAATAATTTAATAAAAATATATATATATATATTGATTAATTATTTTTTATATATTTTATTTTTAAAACACAATCAAAATAAAATATAAAGCTTGAAAAATTAGAATAAGCTTTTTTTTATTAAGTATTTTAAAGCAAATTTAATTAAAATAAAAAACTATATGCACTTTTTCTCTTGCCCTCTAAAAGTTATAAACTTTTTTTTTAAAGTTCGAAATACTTAATTTTCATATAAATTTTAAAAAAAAAAACAAGAAACTAATATAAAATTAAATTTAAATAAAGCTAGAGATACTCGTTTTAATTTTCTTCTTTTGTATTTTGAATTATATTATTAACACCATCTATATTTTCGATTATTTATTATTCATCATATCATTTAGATTATAAATTAGTAAAAAACAATTGAATATAAATTATAAAATTCTTCCATGGAAAAAAACTTATTGAATAATAAAAATTTAGCAAACAGATTTGAATTTAAATTAATATTATTGTATTAATTCAATATTTACTAAGCAAATAAAAAAATTATTTATTGTTAAAAAGCATATTTATTAAAAAATTTCTAAAAAGACTCTTATTTTTTTCTTATAATAGTTATTTTACAAATAAAATTATAGTAAAAAATAAAAAAATTAAATAAAAATTTAAATTCTATTTACAAAAACTAATTAAAATTCATAATTCGAAATTTTATGTAAACACATACTAAATTGTTTTTAAGAATATTAATATTTCTTTTAAAATATTCCTTTAAAAAAAAAATTATTTTCACTTTTTCTTATTTACAAAAAAAAAAAATCTAAAATTTAATTTTTTTATTTATTTTATTCTATTTATTTAAGGTAAACAAAATAATTATTTAAAAAGCCATTTTATCCCAAATTATCTTCTTATTCTTAAATATATATTAATTTTTCTAAAAGCATTATCTATAAAAATTATACTAAATTATAAATTTATTTAAATATTTAAATAAAACATAAAATCTCCTTGATATAAATAGTTTTTTCAAAATCAGAATTATTTTTTTAACTTTTCTATTTTATACAGCTTTTATAATATAAATAATTTCACAAAAAGTCCACAAATAAATGGACTCTTTACAGAATAAGATTTACTTTATTTATGTCTAATAGATTTAATTTATCTTATATTTCAGATAATAGATATAAGTAATATATTGAAATAAAAGATAAAATCTTTTATTATCTTAAAATATTAAACATCCATTTTTTTAAAAAAAATTATTAATTTTTATTACATTATTTTCATATATTTGATTTTTTTAATGATTTTATATTTTTTTATATAAGAAATTATAATATATAATAATTTTTTTATTCTATTTATTTTAAAATTATTTAAAGTATCTTTTCTTGTCTTTTTTGAATTCTTTAATTATCATCAGCTTATTATTTTTATAGTTTTATATAAAGTATCTAAAATATAATATTGCTATTAAAAAGTAAATAGTTATTTACTAAGTAATGAGTTTTAAATATAAAATTAATTCAAAATATAAAAGTACTCGAAAAAAGTTCTTCTATTTATTTTAATAATTTCTCAATATAATTCTATTGCTGTAATAATTATTAATTTTTAATCTATTGTACATTCAAAAGGCTAATACTCAAATTTATATATAAAATATTGTATAGGATTTTAAATTTAAATGAAAAAACTTAAAATAAATATAATACACTTTATGTTTTGGTGAAAAGTTAAAGTTTTAGCATTATTAATACTTGAACTTTTTTTAAAAAAATGTTAGTATTATAGATTATCTAGTCACACCTTAAATATATGCTTTTTTAGTCTTTAATTTAACTCTTTATTTTTATAATGACTTTATTTAAGAAATTGATTATTCATATGTTATTTTATTTTGTAAAGATAAATGTTGCCCATATTTTTTTAAAAAAATAATAAAATACATATTACTTATTTTTTTAAAAAAAATTAATCAAAAAAAAGAGGCTGTTATCAATGTTTTTTACCTTTATTTTTTTAATTGAGTTTTTTAAAAAAATACCGAAAAAATAAAAAAGCATAAAGAATAGGAAATATTTTTTTATTGTATTTTTGCTTTATTAATGAAAAAATAAAATAAAAGTATTTATATAATTTACTTGTTTTACTATACATACTATTTATTTATTAAAGTATATATATTTTTTTTTTCAACAATTTATTTAATTTTAATAAATTTTATATTTTTATTTTAAAAAAAGAAAATGATTTTTCCGCTTAAAATTTAAGAAAGTTATAATATTTCATAAATTCCTGGTTTATCTTCACCAATTTAAAGATTGCCAAATTTACAAATTCATAAAAACAGTAAAAAAAAATTTTTAAAAAAATAAATATTGATAAGTATATAGATATTATTTTTAAACTTCCACCTGATTTCTATAATTATAAAAACTCAAATGATAATCAATTAGGAACCCAAAAAAGAATATCTAAATAATAAGCGATACTCTTAAAAAATACAGAATAACCAAAACTCAAAAAAACAAAAGACGATAGCATTTCTTAAGAAAACCAAAATAAATATTTTTTAAAAAAACTTGAAAAACACAATATCATTTCTAAAAGCAAACATAAAAAATCCTCATTTTCGAATGAAAATAACTTAACTTTATTAACAAGTCCAAAATAAATTTTAGAAAAAAAAAAAGGTAAAAATTACATATTTTTTCATTTTTTTTTTAAACAAAAAAAAGATATCTTTTAATTACCTAAAGTAAATATATTAAAAAGTTTTATAGAACCTCAATAAAAAAGCACTTAAAAATCTTAAATAAAAAAAGAAATAAAAATATAATAATAAATATACTAATCTCCTTAAGAAAACCAAGACAACACTTACAAAGTAAAAAATAAAAAGCAAAAAAATATTAAAAAAAAAATATAGTACTATGTAGGAGAAGGCAATAATAACGAAAGAATTAGAAAACTTTTACAAAAAAGAAGCTGGTGGAGTGAATGTACAGATAAGACAAGTTTTTTTATAAATTTTAAATGGCAATAATCAAGTATTGGATATAAATTTGATAAACTTACAGATTAAAATTAGTTTAAATAAGTTGTTAATCATTTTGAATTTCATAAAGAAATAACCAATAAATAGAATTTAATTAAAAACTTAATATAATTTTGTGAGAGCAACAAATTAAATCCTTTCGAAACAATAACACCGTTAACTTATGTTATAGATTTTAAAGTAAATAATAAAAAAATATATAATTAATATTATTGAAGGATGATAACTGTGAAATGTTTTTGAATAGTTTTTTAAAATTTTACGAAAATAATGTTCCTTAAAATTTGAAGAATAAAATAAATACTTAATATTCTGAAAATATAAAAAAACTAATAAAATAATAATAAATAACCTATGGTATTTATGGATCGGAAAAATATGTGAACCATGTATATGTAAAACAGACAATGCATGAGAGTTTTTTAGATAAATATAATAGCTCTTATATATGGATTTTAAAACCAACTTATTTAAATAGAGGAAGAGGGATTAATATGTTTAATTCTCTTTAATAATTGGAAAAAATAATTTCCAATTATTTAGAAGGATTCGAAGAATAACCGTTGAGGAAAAAAAATGAACGAAAAATCTAAGTTTAGAAAAATCAAGAAGAATAAAAATATTAAATTGAAGAAAATTTATTAAATACTTAAAGAAGTAGTAATAATGATAATGAAGATACTTTGTAAAAAAACAATACTTAAAATACTTAAAATAATTTTAATGATGATAATAATATAGATAATATTAATTAAAATTTAAATAATTAATTAGAAAATTAAGATAATGCTACTAATAATAAAGTTTAAGAAGATTAATAAGAAAAAGAATAATTAAATTAAAATAACGAAAATACAGAAAATTCTTAATAAAAAACAACTAATGAATAATAAAAAGAAAACTAAATCCAATAAAAAAATACTTAGTCAATATTATTAAAATCAAACTAATTCATAATCTAGAAATACATTGAAAAACCTTTATTATTAAACAACAGAAAATTTGATATAAGAGTATGGGCATTATTAACACATGAATTAGAAATCTTATTTTTTAGGTTTTTTTTTATATTAAAATATAAAATATATATATATTTTAGAGAAGGATATATAAGATTATCTAGTTCCGAATTTTCACTTAGAGAAAATTAAATAGATAATTAATTCATACATTTAACAAATAACGCAATATAAAAATTCAGTGATAACTATGGTTAATATGAAAATGGGAATATGTGGACAATGAATTAATTATGGAGTTATCTATATCAAATAAATAATAATTTTACTGAATAATATTATAAGGATAAAATTTTAAGTAAAATAAAAATAATTATTTGGATAACTTTTTGTTCTGTAAGGAAAAAAATTAATATGCACAATAGAAAACATTGCTTTGAAATTTTCGGGTATGACTTTCTTATTGACTCTGAATTGAATATTTGGCTTTTAGAAGTTAATACTAATCCAGCTATAGATGAATGTTCAAATATTTTAAAAAAGTTGGTACCTAGAATGATTGGTATATATATATACAAATATTTTTTTAAAAAATAAAATAAATATAGATGATGCATTATAATTAACTGTTGATAAAATTTTCTAAAAAAAAAACAATAAAAATATTTATAAAGATGACTAGGAATAAAAAGAAGAAGAAAAATATTCTGTTGATGGATATGAAGATGATTTTAATATGTGGTAATGTTTAAAAAGATTACATATATTTTATTAATATATAAAAATAGGGAATCTTTAGGAAATTTAAAAGATTTGAATAAAATTTTTATTAAAAAGTAAATTGCTTAAATAAAATAATCTAATAAATGATAAACTATTTACTATTATATATAAATAAAAAGAAAACTTAAATTATATATAAATACAATAAATTAAATATTTTTTATTAATAAATTAATTATTTTTTTTGTATAATCTAAACATTTTATATTTCATTAATTATTTTTATGTATAAATCGATTTTTTTTTTAATTATTTATTTTTATTCAATATATAAATTTTAATTTTAAAATTAAAACAAAAAACATTAAAAAAATTAGTAAATAAACTATTTTTTTTAGCTTTTGTTAATTTTTTAAATTAAGAGGTATTTCTTCTTTTTTAACTTTTTACTTCTCATTCTATAAATTATAAATAAAATATATTTATTCATGTATAATATAAAAAATTTTACATTTATATTATCATTTTATATTATACTTTTATTTATTTGCTATTTTTCTTTAATATAATCTTTATCTATTTTTCTTAAAATAAAAAGTTATTTATATGAGAAAAAAAAAAAAAACTTTTTCTCAAAAGGCTAAATTGTAGCAGGAATCCGTTGTTCAAACAATTTCTCTTTATATATTTATTTCTAATATAAAATTAAAATTTTAAGATATTTTTATAAATTTATCAAAAATTACATATGTATTTTAAAAATTAATCGGCGTTTTCATTTATTATTTAATGCTATTGTTTAGCTAATTTTGATTAAATTAAATTGGAATCTAACTAATAATAGGACTTTAAAATTAAATAAATTTTTATAAAGAAGGTTAAATATTTAATTTTAAATATATTTTTTAAGGTTCAAATATTTAATATTTTTTTAATGTTATGTCTGAATAAAATTTTAAATATGCGTACTATTATTTTTCAATATAGATTATTAATGTAAAATGCTATTATTTGGTAAACTAAAGGATGCTTAACTTTATTATTAACAAAAGTTTTCATTTGTTTTATCATAAATTTATTAATTAATTTAATCTTGGAATATTCTACGTTTTTTTAATTGAGTTTGATTGATTTAAAACTGCTTTTAATAATTTTTTTCTTTTATTTTTACCTGTTCATTATAGTGATAAAAATCTTAGAAAAAACGATTATTTAAATGTTGCATATAATAAATAATAAATTATTTGTAAAAAAAAATTAATAAAAATATTTATTCTTTAAATTTTATAAATAATAAAAAACAAAATTTTATTTTGTGTGAAATAAATAAAATCTATTTTATTAAATAAGAAAAAAAAAAAAACTTAATTTTATTAACTTATTTATATTTTTTAATTTTATATAACTTTATTTTGTAATAATTAAACTTTTTTTACACGATTAGTTTAATTTTATTGAAAAAAAAATATATATACATTTTTTATTTATAAATTATTGAATATAAAATAATTCATTAATAATATAAATATAATTTTAAATATTTTATTTATATCTTAAACAAACAAACAAAATAGATATATAAAATTTTTATACTTTATTAAATTACAAAACCTATAAAATATTTTATTTATATTTATTAATTAAAACATAGTTATTATATATTAAATTACGATACTTAATATATAATAGTTATATCAATAACCTTCATCGTTATCAAAATACCTATCTTCATCATCTTAATCTTATTATTTAAAATCATCTAATCCTCTATAAAAAAAATCAATATATTAACAAAAAAAGTATTATTATATAAATTATAACCCATTTTTATCGATTTCATCATAATTAATATATTCAGTATCCTCTCCTAAAATAAATCTATCATGCATTAATCTTAATAATTCATCTTCGTTTTCTTCTTGCTCTTATTCTGTAAGTTCTTTATTACTTTATTTCTAAAAAAATAATTAACAACATATTAAAATAATATAAACTTTAAATTTTTACTTAAGGAAAATTTTAACTATTTTCTTTAAATTGCTTTTCTAATTCTGTTCTATATTCTTCATTCATCATTATTTCTTATAAAAAATCCGAAAAATTAATATTTGTACATTGATGTCCTTTTCTTTCATATTATCCACAATATATATAATATAATAAAGGCTATTTTTATTTTTAATTTAAGGAAAAAAAAAAAAAAAAATGAACAAAAAAAAAAAAAACAAAATACATCTCTTAATTTTATAGATTATTCACTAAAATAATCGCCTTCTTGAATTAACTTTTATTTTTTTATTTTATTTATATATAAATTTTTTTACTTATTCAAGTTTATTTCTACGTCTATTTAATATTTTTGCTGGTATTTTGTTTGTTTGATTGGTTTTATATGATTATTTTATATTATCTATTTAATATTATGGCGTTTAGTCTTTATTATGCGTTTAGTTAAAATGCAAATACTCTTGTTCTAATTTTTCATCTATTTTATTTTCTTCTTCCATATTATAAATATTTATATATTTTTTTTTTTATCTTTCAATGAAAATAAAAATATATAAAAAAATCAATATGAAAAATAATAATATAAAATCACATAGACAAAAACAAAATTATACCTGAAAGGAATATTTATTCATGTAGAAAAAAATAATGGTATCCATAAGTTAATAAAAAATATAAATTGGAAACAAATAATTGAAAGTTAATTACTGGATAATCTTATATTAGACGAATATAAAAGGACTTATAAATAATCTAATTGAAAAAATAAATTAAGTAATTAAATAAGTTACTTTACTTTCTTAAATAATAGACGAAATATTAACTAATTAATAGAAATGTCTTAATAAACATAATCAATTAATATAAAATTAAAAATATATAAAATAAAATTAAAAGTTGAATATAATAACATAAATGAGTACGAGTAATATTTTAGATATTATATATAATTGAAGTATATAGAAACATATAAATAATGATAAAAAAAAAATCGATTAATTTTAATACTAAAATAAATATCAAATAAAAACTTAATTATTAAATGGAGAGTAAAATATATTTATGATTTATTATAAAAATAACCTATTTGTAAAAAAATAAAACAAAGATTTGAATTAAAAAGTAAAAAACTAACTAAAATATTTTAAGATAAAAAAACTGGAAAACAACTAATAAAATAGATATGAAAAATTTTTTGTAAAAATATATATAAAAAAATCTTTATTAAATAATATCTAATATCTAAATTAAAAGAAATAAAAAAATAAAATCAAATAAAAATTATTAGATTTAGATAACAAAGAAACGATATAAAAATTATCAAAATTTAATACTTACGTATATATGTTTAATATTAATATTTTTCATTTTATATTTAAAAAAAATAAAACTATAAATTATTGTCAATTTATATATATTTTTTTTTAAATAAAAAATATTATATAATTAAAAAAAAAATGCACAAATTAGTAGTTTGTTAAAATAATTTTTAGAATCTAAATAATTTATAAGCTAATAAAGATTAAAAAAACAATATTTGTTTATAAAAAAATGAAGCTAATGATGGTTTAAAACTAAAAAATCAACTTATAAAAAAATTAATAGTAAAAAACATTCCAGAAGAACTTTATAGAAAAAAATTAAATCCAATTTAAAATCAAGACTCAAAATTAGATTACGAATTTAAAAAATAAAATTAATTATATAGAAATTTAAACAAATAAATACAATAAAAAAATTCGGAAATTTAAAATTTAAAAGAATAAATATAAGCTTAACAGGAAATATTAATTTAAGAAAAAAATTTAATTTAAGAAAACAAAAAATTAAAGTAAAAATTGGAAATAATGAACTAATTCTTATAAAATATATAAAATGAAGAAGAAAAAAATATTTAAAATTAATTTTTTAATGTAAATATAGATTAAATTCTTTATAAATAAATAAAAAAAAATACTATTGAAATTATAAATGAAGAATATAATATAAAAGATTAAAAAAATAATATAGTTTAATTAAAAATAAGAATATAAATAAATAATTTAGATTAATTATAAATATATATAAGTCTTTTTTAAAATAAAATAATTAAAGACATATATAATATAATTGATTAAATAATAAATAAATAAAATTATAAAATTACTTTATAATATCCATTTCGATTTATAGAAAGAAATTCTGAATTAACATTAAATTAATTATAATTGTTTCCAAATGGAGTATTAAATATTATTAATATATGATTTTAACTTAAATATATTTTATTTTTAATAATTATATAAATCTATGGTAAATTATTTTAATTTTTTTTTATCTTTATGAAGTAAATATTTTATATTATAAAATATAAATAAATTATTTTTAATAATAATTTATTTTAAAAATATTATATAACTAATTAATAGATTTAATTCTTATATAAATACTTACAAATTTTATAATGACGAAAAAAGTTATTATATTTAATATTAATTTTTAATTTTTTTTTAATTTTATATTTTTGTTATATTTAATATTTTTAAATTTAATGTTATAATTTCTTCTTATTAAAAAAAAACATAATTTTCTATATTTTGATTATTCATAAATTATCAAATAACATAGATAATTCAATTATTTATATATTGATTCAACATTATAATATCTACCTTTAAATTATTTTTATCTATAATTCATATATATTATAATATATATTAAATATATTTTTATATATATATATATATATATATATATATATATATATATATATATATATATATATATTTAAAAAAAAATTAATAATTTTCAATATTTTTTAAATATACAAATAATAAATGGGTAATCTATGTGATAAGCAAAACCCCAATTCCTAAACTCATAAATCATCCTTAATTTTAATTGAAACAGTTAATAAAAATGATATTAAACCTAATGATAATTCTCCTTCTTCTTAAAACAAATCAAGTCCATAAAAATCTTTAAAAAAATAAAAAAAGAGATATCTATAAACGACTTTTTAATCGAAAAAGCTTTAGGAAAAGGTGGCTTCGGAATAGTTTATTTAGTTTAGAAAAAAAAAGTGGTTAAAAATATGCTATGAAATGTATAAAAAAACTAGAAATGGTAAATAAAAATTTAGTTTAATACACTTAATTGGAAAAAAGTATACTTTTAAATACTTAAAATCCGTTTATAGTACATTTAAAATACTGTATATAGACAGAATCTAAAATTTATTTATTTCTTGAATATATAGATGGAGGGGAATTATATTAATTACTAAAAACTATAGGAAAGTTTAACGAAAAAATGACCAAATTTATTATGGCTTAAGTAATACTCGCATTTTAATATTTACATGAAGAAATAAAGGTTATTTATAGAGATTTAAAACCCGAAAATATTTTAATTAAAAAAACGGATACATTAAATTAATTGATTTTGGAATTTCTAAAAAATTCGATAAAAAAGATCAAATTACATATACATTTGCAGGATCAAATGAATATTTATCTCCTGAAATAATAATGGGCTGTGGGCATAATTAAAACGTAGATTTTTGGACTATGGGTATATTAGCATATGAGCTTTCAGTAGGAAAATCGCCTTTTTGTTAAAACATTGACAAAAATTTTGATAAAATCTAGTCTAACATATTAAAAAACACGCCTGAATTTCCATCAGAAATGTCAGAAGACCTCAAATCGTTAATAAAAGCATTTTTAAAAAATGATTCAAAAAAAAGATTGGGAGCAAATTCATTTAATGATATAAAAAAACATAATTTTTTCAAAGATATAAATTGGGATCAGATTTATCATCAACAATTGTAATCTCCCTTAAATTTTTATATAGAAAATTAAAATACATCTGTAAATGCAAGAAAAAAAAGTAAATAATATAATATTTAAGAAACTCCAATAGGACCCAATATAAATTTGCCAAAAATAAAAGGAATGACTTATTTTTAAAATAGTCTTTAAGAAAAGGAAACTAGTGAAAATGAAGATGATTTTATTTAAAAATTTAATTAAGAAACAATATAGTGAATAAATAATATTAACATTAATAAATATAATATAAAATATAAATATATATAATAATAATTGTATATGTATGTAAATAAATATATATATATGTATATATATATAATATAATAAAAATATTATTTATATATATATACATATATACAAACTTTTAATTAAAAATATTTATTTATATTTTTATATTAGTAATATTAAATTAATTTTTATTTTTTTAATAATATATTTATAATACACTAAATATATTTATATTATAGTAAATATTTATTATATTATAATTATTGTTAAAATTATATTTAATTTATATATTATATTAAATTTTATGTTTTCATATAATCAAATATTCTTAGTAAATTATTTTTTGATATATTAATTTTTTTTATTATACTAATTTATCAAAATTAATTAAATTCTTTTTATAGTTTTTTTTTTATATTTTTAAATATATTTATTTTTAAAAAATATTGGTTATTTTATGTTATTAATAAAATATATTTTATTATTTATTATAATTATATATTAAATATATTATATTTTTAATTTATTTAATTTTTTTTATTATTATTTTATATTATAAAAAAATTCATTTTTTAAATTAATTATTAAAAATAATTATTTTTCTTTATAATATTTATTAAAGTATTTTATTATATATAATATTATACACATTTTAACATATTATTTAATAATAAATAATATATAAAAATTTAAAAATTACAATATATTTTATGGAATTATATAATTATTTTGTAAAAAGATTGTGTATAGTGTATAAAATAAAAAATCACATTTTTATTTATTGATATATTTTTTATTAGTAAAATTAGTAAAATATTATCATAATAATTACATATGTATATAATTTTATTTTTTTGAAATTCTATCTTTATTTAATATTATATTGATATTTTATATTCTTTTAAATTAAAATAAAGCATCTTTTATATTAATTTATATATTTTTTTTTCTTTAAATAAGTATAAAATTAAAAAAAATATTCATTTTAATTTTATAATGTAAATTATATATATCTAAATTTAAAATTTTTATATCAATATTTTAACTTTATTTTTATAATATATTATTTTATATATAAAATTTTTGATATTTAGGATATATTTAAATAGATTAAAATTTTATAATTTTTTTTTTTTTTTTCTTAAATTTTAAAAAATATTTAAAAAGAAATTAATATTATAAAATTTTATTATAAATTATAACTAATATTAAATATAAATATATATATATAGATATTCAGAATTTTATTACTATTAAAAGTATAATTATTCATAAAGTAATCAATAAATTTATATTTTAATTTGTTTATAAAAAAAAATATAAATATAAAATAAATATTTATTTTTTAGAAATGATATATTTTTTTTATAATATATATATATCTATATTTATATATATTATTTTTAAATTGTTTATTATTATTATATGTTTATATACTTTTTAATTATTTTTTATTTTTATTATTTCAAGATATAATTAATCATAATAAATTATTTAAAATAAATAAATATTTTTATTTATAAAAAATATTTATTCTATTATTAAATTATTAAAAAAATAATTTTTGTATTATTATATTAAATTTAAATTTAAATTCAAATCTTCTTTTTTTTATATATTAAATATTTACTTTTTTTTAGTTTTCAAAAAATTATTTATAATTAAATAAAAATATATTATTTTTTATTTTCTCAATATATATATTTTTAAATTATATTTATAATATACTATAATTATCATTTTAATATTATCAAGATATTAGATATATTTAAAAATTTATGTTTCCTTTATATCTAATTAAATAATTATATTTAAAATAACAATGATATTAAATACTTACAAGATTCTTTATTGACTATTTATAATAAATTATTAATCATTATTATCAACTAATACATTATTAAGTAATTATTGTAATATTTTTTAACATTTTCAAAATAACAACAATTATTTTATTTTCAGAATAATTAATAAATTTACTGTTTTTTTTATCCATAGTGTTAATTTATTTTCTTCTTTAATCTTCCTTAATGTTTATTTATTTTTAAATATATATTAGTATGTATTTCTTTATTAATATAGGAATAATTTAGCTTTCAGTTATATTAAGAAAATAATTTTTTTCCATATTTATAAAATTTATTATATAAATAATTTATTTTTAAATATTGTATTTTTAATAGATTTATATATTAAAATTATAAAATACAGCTTCTTTTTTACTATTTTTATGTCAATTAGTCATCTCTATATGTTTGTATAATTATAAAGTATAATAAATATTTAATAATTTTATAATTAAATAAAGAAAGTAAAATAAAATATGATATAATAAATAAAAATGATTTTTTTTTTATTAAATATTTCAGTAATTAAAATGTTAATATTTTTATTTGTATATAAATAAATATGTTTTGTTATCGAAAATTTTAAGATTATAAACTTAATTGATTTTTTTATAGAAGTTAAATATATTGATTTTACATATTTTTAAAAAAATCTAGATATTATATTAAATAAATTATTTATCTAGATTCTAAAAAAAAGATTCTTTTAAAATTTTTGTAAAGATATATATATATATTTATATAAATATTTTATTTATTATAAATATATTTATTTTAATTATATAAAAATATATATTCTATTAATTAATTTTAATTATTATATTTTTTTAAATATATTAAAAAATAAAAAAATATTCCCTATTTATAAAATATATATATTACTTTTATTATCACTTTAATCAATAAATAACATTTTATATTATACTTTAAATACATAATAAACCTAAACTTATAAATTTCCGATTATTGAGTTTAAAAATTTTAAAATTATTTAATACATTTATGTGTATAGCATTAATCATATTTATTTCTTCCAATTATATTTTTATTAATTTCTAATAATAAATCAATATTATCTTTATCTTTTAATTAGTAATTAAAATCTATATATATTATTTTATAAGAATTTTTATGAGTAATTCGAAAGCCTTAAAAAAATAAACTGGAATGATGTTTTGAATTTTATAATGAATGTACAGATGTTTACTTTAATACAAATATGACTAATATTATAAAATAACTTGGTATCGTTATTATTTTACTCTTAGTAGACATTAGTTTAAATGCTTATAATTTATTTATTTATGTTTTACTAATGTATTATTAATCTTAGTATATAAGTAAAAGTTTTACTTTTCTGAAAAAATATAGTAATTTGACGAAACTTGAATTTCGTTTATAATTTTGTTGTTAAATTACGAAAATTTGTAAAAATTAAAACTTTTATCATATATTATTTATCTTTTTAATTATTGGATAATATGAGAATATGTATAAAGCTTAAAAATTATATGAAAACAAAAAAACCCAAAAAACAATATATATTTATATATATTTTATAAAACTTATGTGATGAAATATATATATATACAAAAATAAAACTAAATATATAAATCAAGAAGAACAACTAACGCATAATTTAAAAGCCCATTATGGTGTTTTTTCATTAACTTATATATTCTTCCATTAAATATCCTCAAAAGGCTTTTAAATAGCCGCCATTAATTCTTCTAATTATTAAAAATTACCTTTATCTACATTTTCAATACATTATTAAAGCATATAATTTCTCAAAACAAATGAAGGATTAATTTTTTTCATTTTTTCTGCTCTTTCCTAAAAATCAATTTTTTCATTTTTCAGTATTTCCTTATAAGATTCTATCCATTTATATAATATATCACTATGTTATTTTATATATCTTTCTAATTTTCAACATACTAATTATATTTAATTATTTTCTATTATTCTCTTTCTATAATATCAATTGTAAATCCTCTCATTTACATATCTAAAGGATTACTCTCATATAATTCAGAAATCTAAAAAAAAAGAAATAAATATATTAGCAAAATTTATATAATTTTTTTTATATATATTACTTTTTCTAACATTTCTTATGTAAACCTAGGTTTTATTCTATCCATTAAAATATTATCAGGAGCTTTAAATAATAGAAATTAATTTAAAATATCTTCAATATCAGTATTTAATATATTAACAGTAGATAATTTCCTGAAAAAATTAGTATATTCTAAGCCTAATTCGTGCATAACTTCAATTAATTAATCAACAATTCTTTTACAGTCTTCTTAATTTTATGAATAAATTCCTAGTTTTTCCCTCATTATATTATAGTAGTTTTCTTATAAAATAACATCGAAATTTTCCTCTATGTATTTTTTGCTTTCTCCAAAATCTAAAACGTATTTTAAGCTTTCGGCTAGTCTCAAAAGATTCCATTTACATGCTTTTGGTTAATTTTCATATGAATAATAGCCATCCTGATCACTATGATTACATATATGTTCCTTATTAAAATGCTCCATAAACCCAAACGGACCAAAATCAATTGTAAGCCCTAAAATACTCATATTATCAGTATTTAAAACGCCATGACAGAACGCCACAGTCTGCCATTTAGCAACTAAAATAGCCGTTTTTTTAACTATATCTTCGAAAAAAAGTCTATATTTATCTTCTTTATCCTTCAAACCCTCATAAAAAAGATCAATTACATAATCTGTTAGTTCCGGGATCATTTAATCCCCTAAACCTTCGGAAGGTCCTCCTTTATCGCAAATTTAAAAGGACCCAAACCTTATAAAAGTAGGAGCAAGCCTCAAAACTATACAACACTTTTCTTATATAACATTCCCATTATAGTAAATATCTCTCTAAGCTAAATCATCAGTCTGGACAATCGAAGCAGCCCTCGTAGTCGGAATATCTAAGAAATATAAAAACTCACTACATAAAAATTCCCTTATAGAAGATCTCAACACTGCATTTCCATCCGCAAAACGAGAATAGGGAGTAACTCCACTTCCTTTTAATTATAATTCGATTATTTATCCTTTTTTATTTCTTATATCTCCTATAGATATTGCCCTACCATCTCCTAATTAACCAGCCCATGAACCAAATTAATGTCCACAATAGCAATGAGCGATAGGGACTTGGCTTTCATTTAGGAGATTACCGCAAAAAAATTAAGTAAATGAATTTTAGTCTTTTAGGATTTCTTCTTTTGTAAGGTCTAGTAGATTTAAAGCGGGATCACTTAAAATTATTATTTTTGGATTAGGACGTATTTTTGGTTCGACCTTTGAATAAAAATATCCTCTAACCTATATGAAAAGTATATTTATATATATATGTAGATCTTTTTTTTATAGTATATAGATTTTTATTTTTATATATATATATATTTATAGATGTTTCTTATTTTATTTTACTGTTTATGGGTTAGTGGTTGTAGGTGTTTATATTGGTAATTTGTTTATTGCCGAGTTTATGAAATTTAAATTATAAAAAGATTATTTAGAATTCATTTGTAAGTTTTTTTTATTTATTAGTTTTTTTATATTATTTTACATTTATATATTATATAAGACTTTTTTTATAATAAGGAGTTTTTTATGTATATATTTAAAAAAATTATAGTGTAAGATAGAAATTGATATTTGGTTTTTTGTTTATATATATAAAATCGGCAATTTTATTTAAGAAATTTCTTTTATTTATAAATTTATTTTGAAAATATTTATATATTGAAAATAATCTCGCTATTTTTTTATTTAATATAAAAAAATGATGCAAATTCTATTAAAAAATTTATAAAAATACTTATAATTAATTAATATAATTTATATTTTCATTTTTATTAATTATTTTAAGAAACGAATTAATAAAAAATATATTATTTTATTTATCAAATAAGCATTTCAATAATAAAATATAATTAATAATAATATTTTTTTTTAATTTATTTTTTATACTAAATATAATTTCATATCAGAAAAAAGCAAATAAAAAATGAATAAATTATTCACTTAAAATGTCATAAATAAATTAACTAAAATATCCATATATAATTTTTCTAATCATAAGAAATCAAGAATAATACTATTAAAAAAAAAAACCGAACCTGAAAGAATAGAAAAGGAAGCAAAAAAATAAAAAATAAAATAAATGACCTCAAATATAATAGAAAAAAATTCACAAAACATCCAAAATGTTCCTTTTGATTAATTCACCTAAAAATTAAAATAAGAAAGTTAAATTTTATATTAATTAAAGAAATCATAAACAGAATAAATCACTTCAAAACTAGAAATATTATTACCTGAAAATATATAAGAAAATAAATCTTAAATATAGGATTTTCCTTGGGATTTCGAAGGGTAAAAAACCGATTTTTTTTAAGAAAATATAAAATGTGTGATTGATTTTAATTCTTTTTTAAATGAAAAAATTGTTATGTAATATTTCCTAGATTATATACAGGCATTAAAAAACGAGGATTTATAAAAACTTGAAGCAATTCTTGAAAGGACTTTTTATAAAAAATTAAAATAAAAAATAAACATATTGAAAGAAAATAATTTAAAAATATATATAAATAATGATAAAAATATAGAAAATATAGATATAAATTTATTTAAAGTAAATAATATTTTTGGAGTAGGGATAAAAGAAAATAGGAAAAAGAATAAATATTAATACATTGTTTTTGATAATATAGTTAATGGAATTTAACTTAAACATATTGTCAAAAAAAGAATTGAACCCGGAGAATTAGCCTAAATTTATGTTTAATTTTTTTTAACTTTTGAAAGTGAAATTTCCTTAAAAATTGGTAATTAAAAAGATGAAAATTAAGTTTTTTTAAACGATTAAATATCAAAAAATAAATAAAAAAAATAAATTCATTCAATTGTTTTGGAAAAAATAATTCTCGAATGTGATTATAAAAGTATTAGAAATAATTCATTTGAAGATAAATCATTTACTTAAATTAAAATTAACTTTTTTAATGTTTAAGGTTATAAAAATCTCTCATAAGACAGTAAATTTAAAATTATTGATTTTGATTATTTTATGAATGAAAATCCTATTGTTTAAGATAACAATTGAAAAAAATAAATAGATATATAAATATTTAAAAAATAAAAAATAGAAAATAAATAAATATTTAAAAACATATATATGTATTTATATATATATATATAATAAAAAAATATTAGAGATTTTGTTAATATATATTAAATTTTCAATTTTTAAACTCTATAGTTTTATTTAATTTTTTAAAAGCTAAAATACATGATTTACCTATTTATTGCATTAAAATTTTATTAATCAGAATTATAATCTTTAAAGTAATCACATAAGGATCTACAGTTGCAATAAATAGACTGTAAATAAAATTTAATGCAAAAGTAACTAAAGCCATAGCATTAAAAATTAAAAAAGCTTTCGCAGTTCCATATGAACAATTTGTTAGAAGAAAAATTTCAATAAAAAAGGCAAAAACTATTGATAATGGAAAAGGAAAAAATAAAAAAAATACTTCAAATTGAATATCTTTTTAAATGAAAGCATAATAAAGATTATTTGTATAAAAAGTGGATATTACTATATCTAAAATAATAAAAGAAAATAAAATGCCGATTATAATTTCTTTAGAATAAGCCGATTTTTAATGAGAAAGGAACAAATAACGAATATATCCTATTAAATAATTAAACGATATAACAAATTTTTAAAATTTTTTAATATCTTATTATTAAAATTATTAATGTTATTATTATTAATTTAAAAAACAATTATTATTAGTTTATTTATTTTATTCATCATCTAATAATATACATTCACTTTATAATTCAATAAAACTTTTCATAAGACTTTAATAACTATTACTTTTTTCATTATTACTATCTGATTCATTATATTCATTATTATATTTCTATTCTTCGAATAATCTTTTATTTATAAATTCAGAATTTTGTTAATTATTATTTTCTTCGCCAAAGCAAATGCTGACGTCAAGTTCATTCTTTAATGTCAGTTTTAAATTTTCCATATTCTATTTATAACTATAAATAAAAATTGAAATTTTAACATCTATTTCTTATTTTTATAAATGTATTTATTTTATTCTTCTAATGGTTTCATTTAATTCTTCCTATTATAAATTGTTTTTTTGATTTTCAACTAAAGTTATCCTTTATAGGTAATAGCTGTTATTATAAGTGTATTTATCTTTATATATGGACTATTATTTCAACAAAAGCTAATTTGAAGGTACTTCTATTATCAAAAGTATCAATTAAAGCCCCAAATTTTTAAAAAATACTTTATTTTATACCTATATATAGTTATTCATTAATTTAAATTTTTCAACTAATGTTTTAATGTGGCTATTATAATCAATTTAATAAGCATATTTATTTAATTTAGAAATAAAATTTTCAAATTTAACGCTATTTTCTCTATGGAAATTATAATTATCACAAAATACATTGATCTTTTTAGGATCATCAATATTTATAGACTCTAAACTATTAGCAGAATAAAAAACACTCTATAAAAAATGATCTCGAGGCCATATATAATATGGTTTAAGGAAATCTCCTATACCACTAAAATGCACTATAGTAGGAATAGTTAAATTAAAGTATTTTTAATTCCTTTTTTTAAAATTAAATATATCAATATAACATATAGAATAATCATCAGTTTTAGTTAATTTCATCTTTAAATAATCTAAATAATCAATATTCATATTTAATATAAAATCCTATATAAATAAAAATATAAATATATATATATATATATATATATATATATATATATATATATTATTATTTTACAGGAGTGCTTTTTTTTTCTATATATTTTTTAACTCTTGCATATATTTTTTTTTAAATTAATAATAGGAAAAACCAAAACAAAGGATAATATAAATATTTAAGTGTTTTTAGAAAAATAATTTCACACTTATTCCATTAGAACAATTAATTTATTTTCTAGAAAATTATTATTTTATATTTTTTTTTATTTATTTAATAATTTTAAAAATATTACTTTAGAAAAGTTTTTATATTCTTTTTTATCGAAAAATTTTTCACTATTTTCAGGCAATTAAGGTTGCATAAACCAATAATTATCCAAGTTATTTTCACCATATATCTAAATCCTATATTTATGATAAAGCATATCTTTATATTTAAAAATATTGCTTTATTTGCATTCTGAAGCGAATTAATTATCATCGAAATCAAATTTTACATATTCAATCGGAATACTATCTATTCTTTTAGGTTTCATTTTAAGTATTCTTCTACAAATATAACCCAAACAAATAATAAATATATAAAAAATAAAAAATAAAATTCCATTTAAAGATAAAACGTTATTTAAATAAAATTTAATAGGATTACAATAAAACTACTAGCATATTTCTATTGCATCAAAAATAGATCGAAAACGTTTTTAATTTTAATTTAATTATACATTATTTGAAAATTATGATATATCAACCTTTTTGCAAGAACCAAAAGAACTAGTTTTATAGTAACCTTATTTACATAACTATAAAATTTTATAAATTCATATATATATATATAAAAATATAAAAATAATATATGGATATATAAATGCGTATATATATATATATATATATATATAAATATAATTATAATATATATATATATATATATGTATATATATGTATATATATGTATATATATATATGTTTATATTTAATAAATACATCACATCCTCCATTTATATTAGGTTCATATTCACTTTAACATATTTATGGTATAAAAACTATGTATAATAAATAAGTATAAATATAAAATATTTGATTAATATATATATATATAAATTTTTATATACTTATATATATATATATATATAATATTGACCTCCGTTATTAGCTTTTATTTATAAAAAAAGTTCATTTTTTATTAATTAATTATTAATTTTCCGAAAACCACTTTAAACATTAATAATACCATTAAATTATTAAATTTTTTGATTTAAATCGAAAAATCCTATGCAATTTTATTAATCAATTTATATTTTTCCTCCTGAACCTTCTCCAAATAAACCTAAAATATTTTAATAATAGAATAAAATAAATAAAATATGAAAATACATATATTATTTATTTATATATTTTATATTTTATATATATATAATATTTTATATATTATGTATTTAAATGTCTGATATATTGTAAAAAATATTATCAAATTTATTTATATACCTTCATCATCTGAATCACCTCCTTATGCCATTAATTAAGCATTTCCTTATATTATATTACTTTTAATAAGTATTGAACCTCCGGATCCTCCACTTCCTTTAACATTCCAGAATTTTTGTCCATTAGATTCTACTTTACCTCCTAATTAAACTTATTATACTCCATAAATTATTACTACACCTCCTCCTGCACCCTCTCCTTCTTTTTTTTCCTCAATTTTTTCACTGCAATTTTAACAAGAGCCTCCACTTCCTTCAAAGAACATATTTTAGTAATCATACGGGTTGTTTTTGAATATAAAGTTTATATAATTGAAATATTTTATGCAATATATTGCATATTATTCGATCACATCTGCCTCTAATTTCCCCTAAGGTAACCCTATGCCTCCATAGCCGGCATGATGAGCCCCATGGGCAGCACATTAATACTCTGTATTGTAATAAAGACCCTTTCCTTTACCATTATTAGGTTGGCAACCCATTCCAGTTGAATTTAAATTTCCATTTGAGGCTATATTAAGTGAAAAAAGACCTATTTTAGAAGCCTTAATAGTTGTATTAATGTCCATAGAAATATTTTTTTCAGCTAAAAAAAGCAGTGTAAAATCAGTTTAAAGAAATTAATAAACAATTTTAAATTTTGAGTTTTTTTCTTATTTTTTAAAAACTAAATTTGCCTTTCCTGTCTATTTATCTATAAAAAGCTCAAATAATTAACTATAAATGGATTTTTTTTTCATAGAAAAATTTAAATCATCATCGCATCGAATAAAATTTGCTGAAAAAAATGAGTTTTTTAAAATAATTTCTTCATTTGTTTATAACCCTATATGCCCTGATTTTATAAAAATATTATTATATATATCAGTTTTTGGAGGTTCTATATATATATTCTTATCAGCAATAAATATTAATATGCCTAAATAATTATCCATATGTGTTATATTTGCATTTATTTTTATATATTAATTAGATTCTAAAAATACATAATTTTATACTGATTATTATTATTATCTTTATTTGAAACCAAAAAATATCTCTTATTATAAAATTAAGTCTTTTCTGGTATTTATTCTTATGTTTAAGCATTCAAAAATAGTCATTGAAATTGTCAATTATTCTAAATTTAAATAGTTTTCAGTATTTTAACACTTTATTGTTATGTTTTGGAATAAAGTTTATGTACAGTTTGTTTTTTATTGGTTTTCAATAATTTATTGTATTAATATGTTTGGGTTATCTTTGTAAATGCATTATGAATTAAATTTTATTAATAATAATGTCAATAATAAGTATATTATGAAAAACATATTTTTATTTATTATATAAAAAGATTAAATTATTTGATGTTATATATATATATATAATAAAATATTATTATATTTGTATTATATATATATATTATTAATTTTTATATAAATATTATATATTTTATCTTATATTTTAAATATAAAATAATGCAATTGAATTAAATGTAAATATACATATATATTTATTATATTTATTATTTTATTATTATTTTCAAATGACTTTCATTTCACTACAGAGCCAGGTTAAAGTTTCTTAATGACCACTTTCTATATATATATATATATATATATTTTATAAAAATAAATATTTTTTAATTACTTTTTATATTGCTTCCTTCTATTACTTTAGTCATCACTTTTTTATTTCTTATATTTTTTGATTATATATGTAAATAAATATATAAATAATAAATCGTAAAATTAATATAATTACTGAATAGTTTAATCTTATAATTATTTAATTTTATCAATTATAGTTTACTCCAATTACAAATCGCTTTTATTAATAAATATACAAACTGGTACATCACATAATGTTCTATCATTTAATATTTATTATAATTATGTAAAAGATTATTCAAACAAACTTATGTCTGATCCATCTATTAAATAAATTATTCCCTATGTCCCTACAAAATGGTGTCTCCAAAATATTCTTTTTCTTTCTTCTCCTGAAAAATCCTTTATTTAATTTTTTTTTTTTGATTAAATTAATTTTTTATTTTATTATATTTACATAAAATTATAAAGATAATTTTTATATTTAAATATCTTGTATATCTAAATCTTTTGTAGGAATATATTCATTATTAAATTCTTAACCATTAATTGTTTATATAAATTCTATTAATATTAAATTATTTAAATAAAAATATTATCAAATTACTTGTTTTTCCACTTTTTTCACACCCCAAAACTATTATTTTTCTTGTATTCTTACTAAAATTTTTTTCGTAGTTATTTCCCATTTTTTTTTTTTTTGTTATTTAATTTTTAATATTAATATTTTTAAATTTTTTTTAAAAAAAACTATGTGAAATAAATCAGTATATAAAATTTATATATATATAAAAATAATTTATATAATAGAGATAAAAAAATAGATAAAATTTAATCTATATTTTATAATAATAAATCATATTTTTATCGTATAAAAATTATATTTATATGTAGAAAATATCTTTTATAATATTTATTATATTTTTTTTTATATAATTAAATATTTTTTAATTAAAGTATAAATATAATAACCTATTATTCAATATTTTTTATTATATTATTAGAAATAGTGTATATAACACTAATTAATTAATATAAAATTGAATGTTTTTTTATAACATTTAAAAAATATAAATATCATATATATATATATAATAAAAAATAAAACGCTCGACGTAGGGATCGAACCTACGACCTTGCGGTTAACAGCCGCATGCTCTAACCAACTGAGCTAGTCGAGCTAATTTAATAGATTATAAACAAGTTAAATATTTAATATATTTTTATATTTAAATAATATGTAAATTAATTTCATAAAAAATTTATATTTTTTTCTTTAATAAAAATTGTATTTTTTTTTAATTTCAAAAATAAAAAACCAAAAAAAATTTTATAATTAATCTTTTTTATATCAATATATTATATTATTTTATTTTATTTTTTAAAAAAAAATTGACTATAATAAATATAATTTAAAACATATATTTATATTATATAATTAAATAATCAAAATTTTTTTTTATTATATATATATATATATATTTTTAAAATAAATATATTCAAAAACTATTTTTTCTTTGTTATCTATATTTTTTAAAGATTATTTAACTTTTTACTCAAAGCTTAATTTTCTTGAACTAAATACTTCAATTCTAATTCGAAGACATTTTCACTCGGTAATTAATTTAAAATTTCCTTACAAGAAGGCCTTAATAAAGGATTCGGGTGAATCATTTATTTAACGATATTTTTTAGGCTTGCACTATATTTAATCAAATTTTTAAGTTTGCTAAATTTACCAATTCTCAAAGAATCCCATTCTAACCCAAATTTAGGCAATTCCTGATCGATCATAAGTTCATATAATAAAGCGCCTAACGAAAATATGTCAGATTTTCCTAAATCGATGTCCTAATAATCAAAATTCTCACAAGTATTTACTAGTTCAGGAGCTAAATAAGGTACATAAGTATTATAAACTTAAGAACTTTTAAAATTTACTTTATTTTAAATTTTAGAAAATCCCAAATCTCCAAGTTTAAATCTTTATTTTTTAGAAAACAATATATTTTCTGGTTTTATTCCTAAATGAAAGCACTTATTTTAATGTAAAACATTTAATGTTTCACATATATCCTTTAAAATCTGTCTTATTTACTATTCAGATGGTTTTTTTAATTATTTTAAATTCATTTAACAATATTCTGTCTATTATAAATATAAATATATATTTATATTTTTTAAAATTTTTATTATTAACAACTAAATATAGATTATTATTTTCAATCCAAGAATTATAAAATTTTACTAAACCGCTTACTATGCTTGAAAATTTAACTAAATTTTATAATTCTTTTATTACATCATCATGATTTATTTATTTGTTTAACATATTTATAATTTTTATAGAATATATTAGGCCATTTACATTATTCTAACACTATAAAATATAAAATATAATATATATATATATATATATATATATATATATATTATTATTTTTATAATAACTAATTACTTTTAAAAGTTTAGATATTTCGTTGTCTTTTATTATTTATAATTATAAGAAATCTAATTAAAATCTATTTTCATATAATTAATATAATTTCAATATTTAACATTTGTTTTATTCATAAATATTATATTATTAAGATTAAATCATTTAATTTCTTATTTATGAATAATTTTAATAATCACAATCTAAATTTTTTTAACTATTTTATTGTTTCTCTTATATTTTATATAAATTGATTTTGTCTTATTTGTTAAACTTTTTTTTATTCAAATTACACTAAAGACCTGGCATAAATTATGTAAATGAATTTTAGCCAATATCAATACAATAATTGCTCTCAATTTCTAATTAACGATTAATTTAAATTTCTGAATTAATTTCTAATTAAAAAATTAATAAAAATATTGATTAATAAACATATTTATATTAATATATATTATTATATATAATTAAAAATATAAAAAAAAAAAAATTATTTTATATTTATTTTCTATTTTTTATAATATAAATTTACATTAAAAATCTTATTAAAATTATTATATATCTTCATAGGATAAATTTATTTAATAATCTCTATTTATAAAATTTACACTTTTATAATTTCTTTTTTAAAATTATTTAATATATTAAAAATATTTTATATAATATATATAAAATTATAAGAATTTATTATTGATAATGTATATTTTTAATTTTATATTCAATATAAATATATTTTTAATTTATATATGAATTAAAAAATGTTGAGATTTAATAATATATTATAAAAATTAAAATAAAATAAATTAAAAATTAATAAATATATATATATATATATATATATTTATATTTTGTATATATATTTTTTTATATATTTTTTTTACAAAATATAATTTTTTTATTATTTATCTTTTTCTTCATCTTCTATTAAAATTAATGATACTCTATTTTTTTCTTTTATATTAATTGCTTATTATTATAACATATTATTTTCTATATATATTTCATTTTGTGATAATATTTAAAATGGTTTAACATTTTATATGTTTTAATAATTTTATGCAATTTATTTTTAAAAAATTTTTATTGTTGATTATTATTCATCAAATATATCTTGATTCATCTATATGTTTGTTTATTTTTTTTAATTAAAAGGTGATTAAATTAAATCATTTTATTTTATATTTTATTTAATAAAAATATTATTATATTTATTTAATTGTTATTTAGTCATTAAATTTTAATATTCTTCATTTAATTCAATTTATTGTTCCATTATTTTTATTATTTATGATATTTTTTATTTTTTTAGAGAAATAAATTAAATTATATATTTTAAGCAAACTACATAAAAAAAGTTTTATTTAAATTTTAAAATTAAAAAATTATGTAGATTTTCTTATAATAATAATTATATTATATTTTCATCTATAAATTGAAATTTATTTTATAACTATTATTTTTTATCTAAATATCTAAAAAAAAAATTATTTCTTCCTATAATATATGAGATATATTTTTTATTATTTTTTTTAAATTATGAAAAAATTAATTAATATTTTTTTATTGTATTATAAGAAAATAAAAAATTATTTTAATATTAAATTTATATATATATAAAATAATTAATATTTTAAATATATATTATGAATTTTTTTTATTTTAAAAATTATTATTAATTATTATAAATATATTTTTATTATATTTATTATGTATATTTTTTTTTTTATATATAGTTATTTTAAATAATTTTTTATTATAATCCTAATATAAAGTATGTTAATATATTATTATTCTATTTATATTTTAAAATAAAGTAAAAAATAAAAAACCTAATTTATAATATTAATTTTATTATCTTTAAATTAAATATATCTTATTATAGTTTGCATTTATAGTTTTTTAAAAAAAATCATTATAAAATATGATGAATCAGATATACAAATTTAAATAATTTATTTAAATATATAGTTTATAAAAAATATAATTCATATATTTTTTTGTTATTATTCTTAATTAAATTCACTAAATGGATTTAATTTTTATTTAGTAGGTTTAATTTCTATTCTTTTAGAATATTAAATAATCTAAAATCCAATTTATTATAAAAACCTTTATAAATGAGGACAATTTTACC